AGGAGGTGGTGGGGAAGGAGGAGGCGGAGGAGGTGGAGGTGGTGGAGGAGGAGGCGGAGGAGGTGGAGGAGGAGGAGGGGAATACTATATGTCATGTTACTCATGCATGGAGGTGACGGGTTGGTATGGCACCATGCTAGCTTACCGCTGGAGTGTGGTAGGTTTGTTGTATATATTCCGCGCTGTGTTTCCACGGTAGTTGTGTGAGATGCTGCTGTATGTGGGGATGCGGAGGAGGAGGAAGGGATGCAGAGATGGCATCGTGGGGCATCGTGGGGGCATCGTGGGGGCATCGTGGGGGCATCGTGGGGGCATCGTGGGGGCGCATACGTAATGCGACGATGATAATCAGCGTGGGTGCGCGGGGAGGGGGGGGGACGTGCAGCAGCAAATCATCACAGATTAATTATCCCCAGAGGCGACCTGATTTACACTCACGCACGCACGCACGTACGCACACACGCAGACACACGCAGACACACACAATTATCTCACCCAACATTCAACCATGACTACACCGTGTCTCAGTTCTTCCACCTGACGCTCATCCTCCCCCCCTCTCTCTTTCTCTCTCAGCCTGCAAGAGGAAAGAGGAGCAGCAGCAGGCGCAGAATCAGCCGCCGCAGCCGAAGAAGCCTCGACTCGTCTTCACCGACATACAGCGGCGCACCCTGCTGGCGATATTTAAGGAGACGCAGCGGCCGTCGAAGGAGATGCAGATCGCCATCGCAAAGCAGCTCGGGCTTGAGCTGAGCACGGTCGGTAACTTCTTCATGAACGCGCGGCGGCGCTCGCACGACAAGTGGAAGGACGAGAACAAGGACAAGAACCTGACGTCGTGAGCCGGCGGGGCGGCGGCGGCGGCGGGAGCGGGAGCGGGAGCGTGGGAGCGCGGGAATCCAGTCCCGATGAAGGCAGTGTACCCTCAGAGCTGTGAGAGGACGTCGCGGCGAGGCGACGTCATACGCACGCGGTCGCGCTAGGAGCGACGACTACGCGTGTCCACGGTAACGGTTGCTATGGACGCTCCTGACGGCGTGTCCATGGCAACGGTTGCTAGGGCCGGGACGCGCATGCGCAGCACCCTGCATTCCGTAAAATCTCGATATCACTCGTCATCATTCCAGTTTGTCGCGTACGTTTTTTTTTTTGGTCAAGATTATTATATTTATTATTGCGTGTTGTTATTTATTGTTGTGTGTGTACCGAATCTTTGGGGCCAATCTTTTTGGACCAATCAGTTAGGTTACCCGGCTATAGGTGCGGGGTTGGGGGGTGGGGAAGATTGTGATTTATTTATAATTCATTCCAAATTACCCAGCGGGAATCAACATGTAAGCAGTCACGTTTTGACAGCTATGAAACTCGAATTTTATTTGCCAGAGTCCGGTTACGTACGCTAGTGAACAGAACGCTAAACGCTCAGCGTTCATGCTTCTCTGCTGGCGTGCGTGCGTGCGTGCGTGCGTGCGTGCGTGCGTGCGTGCGTG